TATAGCTTTGATGGTTAAGATTTGGAGGCTTTAATATTGATAGAATGGCGTTGGAGATACTTCGTCGAACCTACGCTCTGAGAAAAACGAAAAATGATTTTCAGTTTTCTTCACAACCGACTTGTTTTTCGAATAGGTAATGACGAAAATCTTCAACAATTTTTGGAAGAAGAGACTTGCCTAATACATTTACTCAGGGAACGTGAAATATTGATCAGAAAAGTGTAGAACTATAGCTCTGTAATATAGAGACCCAATCAATTCTAGTTTGTTTTTAACGAGTCATAGACAGACACATTTTAGACTCGCAGAATCATATAAAACTCAGCTCGGAATTAGTGTCCGCAGTTTTTAGAGATACTCAAAATGATTAGGATTTAAATCAATGGTATATCATAATAAAACACGATAATTGAAAAGTTATAACCTTTGTCTGGTATATGAGAGAAATAATATTTAATAGGCAACCTTTATTATATCAATATCCCTAATAAGAGTGTGGGTGTCGATGTCGGTGTTCTCTTCATGAAACTTACAGTCATACACACTCTCACACCAACACGTACATTCCAAGTCCTACATTCACACCCATATCCACACTCTCATAAACCATAGGAAGGGTATGTTATGCGTTGCATTTTCATAAACTCTTTGGAAAAGCGTTTGTTAATGTACTCTTTAGAAGAAACCGTAGAATAAAAAACGCTTTTCCAAAGGGTTTATGAAAGTGCAACGTATAAAATACTCTTCCTAGGATATATGAAAGGGTTTATTATTTTGATTCTATTTTTTACAGTGTACCCACACTCTCAAGATTAAATTGATATTCTAATGTGTGAGTGAATTGTAAATGAAGATTAGAGGAAAAAAAGTTGTCTTGTTGTTTATAAGCTGTCGAATGCTCATTCGATCTGAATTGACACCTGTTTTCTTCTTTTTCTGTCATTATTGAGAAAAATGATGTTGTTGTCGACAAGTTTAATTGTTAATCAGAAAAGACACTCAGTTTTGGTAAAGTGGAAAAAATAAAATATTTTAAGTGAAAAACAGCGAGACAACTAGATATTTTTTTTTCAAAATAAAAAAAACAAACTCGAGGAATATTTTCTTTCGTTTATTTTTAGTAGATCATTGTAACAAAAAGCTTTTATTTAAGAAAAATTTTTTTGAAAAAAAATCCGTATGTCTCTTTCCGCCAGTAATTGGTTGATCATGATTATCATTTAATGATGAATCAATTTGATCTAATTCATCTATTGTTGCATTTCAATATTCTCGAATTATTTTACCATCTTGTTTTACTGTTGTATGATGTTTATCTCCACATATTTCACTTCTTGTTTCAGTTTTGTTATTTTCATTTTGATTTGAGGATTATTGACTTTTGTTTTTCAATAACACATCATTTCAATAGTGTTGTTTCTCGTTTCATTGTTGTTATTATTGATGAACTTGAAAAAGTTCTTGGAAATGCTCCAGTAAAACCATGTTTTTCTATAGTAGAATCAAGATTTTCATCCACATCATGATTATCTACAAAAGATATTAATTTAAGAAAATTCAATAGGTTTTTGTTTTTTTTTTACTTTGAAACTCTGTAGTTGAGAAACTGAAGAAAAGTCAATCCGAATCAACGAAGATTTTTTCAATTGAGAAAAAAGCCATTGAATGGAAAATCATCGTTATTATCTTTCATTTTAATTTTTAGAATGAAAATTTATTTCTCATAGTTCATTTTTATTTTTAGTTCAATATGAAGAAATCTATTTAAAAAAAAAGTATATTTTCAGACATTTAATTATCTCTTAGTCTTATTAATGACTTAATTATATAGTGTAATGTCGGCATAACTAGATCATTATTAATGAATACAATAAATATCAATATTATTTACAACACTTTCGACAGTCTGATAATGAATCAAAATTCTTTTTTTTCTTGGTGTGAACAATCGTTTGTTATAATTTAAATCTATTGTTTTCAACTTCAATATGTTTAGTAAAATTGAGCAAGAAAAAGCTACCGGTATGAATATTGAATAGATGCATGTGGTATCTCGCAGTTCAATGAACTGAAAGAATCTTATCAAAAAAAAAAAGTTGTCTACTAGCAACTAACTTATGTTTTCTATATTTTGCAAATGAACTCGATTATCAATTGAGTGATTCAATCGAGATATTGCAAATGTCGAATATCAAATGAAAACCTGTCGATAAAATTTCTTAAACAATTATAAAATACTCAGTTGCATTGATGTTGTTTTATAAATCGAGATTATTTATTGATATATTATCGTAGAATTTCAATATCTACTGAAGTGAATTTATTTCAAACAAATGTATTGATTCTAAATGCTTGTTTTAGAAACGGATTTCTTTATAAAAATGTTCACTAAAGAAGATTTATATTATAATTTATCTTTAAAAAAAATTGTATCTTTTAGGTTTTTATATGACTAAAAAAAACGAAGCATTTCGATTAATTTTCTGATGATTAAACAATTTTAGTTGAATTTTGAATGATCTTGAAATAAAAGAAAAACGTTCTAATGATAAGTTGATTTTTAAAAATGATAAATATATGCATTAAAAGTTAATAAGAATTCTTTTTCTTTTTATTCTAATAAAATTAGCTCATTGAAATCCTAAGATCAAAAGATTCTTTTCCAATTTCAGTTGCTTTTGTAACACGACATAATTGCCCTTTAAATTCCGGATAATGGACATTTCACTAAGGGTTTTCCACTAAACAAGAATTAAAGATGACTTTAAATTTCATACAGATAAATTGGTACATAAGATGCAGTACACTTATCAAATAGATTATATTCATCGTATTTTAATGGATGTTCATCAATTGAATTTTTTTCACAAACACTTAATATTTTTGGGTGTTTAAACAAAATAGTAAAAAAAAATAAGTTTTTATTATTTTTTTTGTTTGTCTTCTAAAATAATTGAACCAAAATTATGTTTCATTTAACAAAAAATAAACCCAATTGTTTTCAAATAAATCTAAAAAAAACATGAAAAATTTCGATCAACAGATTTGATATATCTTGAGTACATTAAAAATATGTTTTCTTTCTTGTTTTTCGGTCTATTTTAAAACTTTTCAAAATCGAGAAAGAAATAAATGTTTGGTTTGAAAATGACATATTAATAGTTAAACAAAACAAATCTCTTGAGCAACATCAGGTGCTGGTCCCAATTCCAATAAACGTGTGGCAAAGCTTGTTACAGTTTTATTAATTTTTAACTTAAATGCTTGATTAAGTACAGATTTTAATGTCATGATTTTATATATTGGTTGTAATTGTAAATGAGTAAAATAAGCAGCTAAATCACATGAATGTTTTTCATCATCTTTTGTTAAATCTTTTTTTGCCATTGACATTTGTAAACCAACAATATATATTTTTTATATATTTCAATTAATTATTGACTTTCGAGAATATCTTGACATGATTCAAAAATGAGTATTGGAACAGATAATAATATTGAACGAAATTTTTCAATAGCTTCTTGAAATTTTCCATTTGCTGTTAAACGATAAGTGATTTGAAGACGTTCAACTTATTCTTCTAATTTTAATCCAACTGTTGGGTAAAATAATTTTGGTGAATGTGCATCACGCCATTATAATTAAAATAAAAATTTAAAAATATTTATTAAATAAACAAATAAATACAAACTAATTTCTTAATAGATATCCATATGATGATGGTAATGATCGAAGTGCTGTAAAAGCTGTACGTGAACGTGAATATATTTGAATAAATAATTGTTTATATTATCAAAACAAATAATTCTTACTTGATCATGTAATAAACGCATTGCTGATTAAAATGAACCACTTAATATATGATCAATTGCTACTTTGGAATTTTGTGTACAAGCTTGTGGAACTGATTGACCTTTTGTTGGTGCTAGAAAATAACTACTTGCATCTTCTTCATTATCAATTCCACCAGTTGTTTCGTAAAATAAAGAAATATGTTATTCTTTCATTTCATATTGAAGAAAAAATCAATAACATACAAGATCAGGTGGTAATTCAATGAATCAATTTGTACTTCATTATCATCCCAATCTCCACCACATGTTGTTGTTTCATCAATATGAAGATTTGCAGCAAGTTTTGTTGTTATATTTGATGTTAAACCTGCTGTTGTTGATGTTGGTTGACTTTGTTTGATCATTGCCCTTTCAAAAAATTCTTTTGATGCAGCTGATAATGGCCAATTCGATTCTTGTTGACTTATTGAACATAGTGGCAATATTAATTCAGCATTTAAATTCACTTCAGGTACCTAAAATATATCAAGTTTTTTTACTGAAATTTAAAAAAATTTAAACATAAAATTATATCGTTTCGATCATTGTGATTTTGTTTCTGTTATTACTTTTTATTCTATTCTATCTTTTTCAAATGTAACTATAGAAAGAAGTTATACTAATGACTTTGTTGAAGTCTTAGTATTTGTACAAAGTATATACTTATTAATCTACTCATGTGATAACTAGTGTTGGTATACTTATTGAAAGAATGCATGCTATGCTGGCGATTGTTTTTTTGAAAGTGGTGTATCATGATATATTGTATCACAACGATATGTTTATTACAACTGACTGAATGGTATCGTTTTCAATGCACATTGATAATGATGATGGGTGTTGGTGTGGGTCTTCTCTTCATTGACAGCCCACACCCCACACCCTTAATTCGATAAAAAAAAATCGAACAATTATAACAAAATTCAGGTTATATTTTACTCAGTGAGTTCTACGACATACAAAAAAACAAATCAGAGGATTCACCTCATGTCGTTCTCATAAGAACGTTCTTGGAAAATGAGATTTGTGACTGTATTGTTTCGTTAGGAGACAAGTTTCTGTTTGTATTAAAACAAGTACATTATTCTTGTGATTCAAAGTACTATGATTATTCAGACTTATCGATATAATGAGAAAAAAAAAGTTTAGATCAAAATACAACTAAAGTTGAGCAATATTATCTAACAAAACGTTAAACACATCATTCATGTCACCATAACAGAGTTCACCTATTTGTGCAGTGGTATGTTCGCCTAATGCATAAAGAGTCATCTGTGTTAATGATGATTGAAATTGATCTTTCACTCCTTGTTTGATTTTTTTAGCATCAATGTTTTGATCAAGATCATGATGATTCATCATCCATTGTCGTATATTGGCCAGTCGTTCTATTTCTTTTCCATCGGGTTCTTCATATTTTTCTAAGAAAAATTTATGACTATGTTCTGTTTTACATTCGAGTTCACCAGCAAAATAACGCTCGAGTAAACTAGTCAATTGTTGAGCATTATTAAAAATATGAAAATACGTTTGTCGATCATCTTTATTATCATGTTTTTCAGCCATTTCGTAAACGAAAATATGCTTATGATCATTGAAATAGAGTGCTTCAAATGGAATCGACGAATCGGAATCACAAATGAGAACTCGAGCATGTTCGATTAATTTTAATGTGTTTGTTTGTGTGTCAGGTAAAATATTTTTCGATGTAAGAAAATGATGTGTATGTTCTTGTTCCAAATTACTTAGAGATAACATTGGATTATCATCGTTCTTAATTTGATACGTGAGTGGATGTAATTTGATAACATGTGGAAACGGAAAAGCAACAATTTGCTCAACAATATCTTTGTTCGACAAAAGACTAAATGGAGCATCTTCAGATGAAAAACTTGGACAGATAACAATATCAGCATATTTATCGATGTCAATAGATGATAAATATTTCGTACGAATATAATTAGTGAAAGTAATCGGTAAGCGATGTGAATAAGCATGAGCACAACTTTGACATCCATACATGCAGTGACCTGTGGAGTAGACGTCAATAATTGAAGGTGCATTTTTTTGTATGCTACAAAAAAAACGAAACTGTAATTGTCCAAGTGAATAATTTATAGAAGCAGTGAGAAGAACAACTACGTGATGTTGCTGTTGTTGTTGCACGACTAATTCTGCAAGAATAGTATCGATACTAAATTCATGTACTGTAACATGAATTGATCTGGAAAAGTAATCTCGTACGAGCTGTTGAGCAGGATTCCACTTATAAACGAAGAGATGAACGTCAGCAAATGAGGCGAACGAAAGAATCAATTCTATATGAGCATAACCTGTATGATAAGGTACAAAAAAGACCAACTTATTCGACATTTCTATTGACTTGTTATAGTATATAGATGATCTAATGACTGATATTTCAAATGCACTGATCTTGTAATAATTATTTCTAAATGCATTACGTCATGATTTTTTTTATAACTGAGTAATATATTAAGATTTATATATATTCAAAATTAGTGTAATTTTAATAGTATTACTGCTAAATGTTATGCTGATGACTTCTAGAAAAATTAATAGATGACGCTCTCTGCTAATTATGTATGATAGAAGAATGTTATATTATCAAAATGCATGAAAAATTTTTAATTATTAAAAAATCATCGGATATGACTCGAAATCAACTAATTCTGTATTTGTGTGAGTGCCCTTAAGCCGTCTGTATCAGCTACATCAACTGTTTTGGCTTAGTTTTTGAGTTTGATTATTTACGATTACGATAAAGATGAAACTAGTTAATGATATTAACAAAATAGCAAAAATAAAAATGGCAACACTGAAAATATGATATAACGATGTTGTAAACTATACCTAATTTTTCTGTGAAATTATCTTTTTAATTGGTTCAGTTATAAAATGGCCAGAACATGTGCATCAATGAATTCGTTTTCGGAATCATATAATGAATCATTTTATAAAAGCAGCAACCAATTATTACTATAAATCATCGAATCAATATTAAAAAGAAATATGCGCTAGAGAGGGCGCTGGAAGCAGAACAGTCTTTCGGAGATTTTGATTTCCGTTGCTAGCACTCATGAAGAAATATAGAGGTTTTTGTCTGAATAAATTTTCTTGTCAAAGTCATTTTTTCAAGATCTTTATTGGTAGGTGGTATTGAGTGCACAATGATGACTATTCGAACCAATAAAACATGTGAGAAATGAAAGAAATGATCAATAAATTGAGATTTTCTGAAGATACGCTAGCGATAGTATCATCTATTAATATCGAATATTTTATCTTCGAACAAATTTAATTGTTATTCGAAAGAGAATAATTTTCACTATATATTAGTATTTTCTTAAAATTCTAACAAACAACATCTAAATTTTTTTCGATATTGATTGATTTATCTTTTGTCTATATGTGTAATATACTATTATTCATTGTTTTTTAATGAAGAAAATAAAAAAAAAAGTTCAAATAATATTAATTTCCTGTTTTTCAGAAAAATAATGGATGATGATTGTTTAAGAAATTCTTCACGAAAACTAGCTGATAATAGATTTTCATCATTCGTTACAAGAAATGAATTAAATAATAAACAAATTAATTCGAGCCTATGACTTGAATATTTTCGAGCTGATTTATTACTTAAATTAACATTTCAAAAATGAAAACAAACAAAAATACCTTAGATCGAATTAATTGAGATGAAATGGTTTTCGTTATTATCAAATAATGAAGTAGGTTATCTTTCCTATTAGCATATGGCAATCAGAGATCTGCGAGTCGGTCAAAAAACTCACCTCGCCACGCCTAGGACTTAATATAAATACTACTTTTATTTCATAAAAGCAAACAGAGGTATACAGAGTGGCGGAATCTTCCAATCATTGAGAAATTTTCATTATTTCCCAGCAAAATTTCAGAATTTTTCCGTTTATTTGCTCACCGATTTTCAAAAAATTGCTTGATCGTCCCCAGGTTTGATCAATTTTAGCAAAACTTTTCTTATCAATCTCGTAATTTATAGATACTCCCAATTTTTGTGACTTCGGCACATTCCTGAGATCAAATAAAATACAGAGTATCCGAAAAGTCATTCACAAAAAAAAA